AAATACTATTCAGTAAGAATACTGACTTTCTGTCATTTTTTTCTACCTTTGGCCGTTAATGGGTTAATGCATTGAAGCATGTAGCATAGAACTGTTGCCCTGACCCTTTTTATATTTTTGCCAAAAAGGGGTTTCTTTTTGTTCCTTCCTAAAATGCAGGCAGCCAATCTGTTAGACAAGAAGGGTACCCAATGGTTTGTGCATATTTTCTCCTTATGCAGTCTTTTCAAGTGGCCTATCAGTGTCATGTCTTATGCTGTAATCAAAGTTATCCAGTCTCTAAACAAAAGACCTTTAGAATGTTACTCTTCTCTATTACAATGCATCCAGGTTTAATTTTCTGAGCTTTTTGGTATATTCAAGTTGCCACAGCTCTTGAGGAATTTTTGAAATTGTTGTTTATTCCAAGAGGTGGAAGTTATTCTTATAATAAGAAATCCAGACCACACCTGTGTTCTCCATAAGTAAGTCCCTCAGTAAATAGCTGATGATACTAACTTTTTGTTAACATTGCTTGTAGGGATTTTATCTAGATTAGCTGCTAAATAATGTCAAGACGGCTCAGTATTTGTCCTATCTCAAAATCTGTGAAATAAATATCATTTAACATACTCATCTTGCTGGAGTTCCTCTGAGACCAACTCCATTTCCATCATGTATAGTTTGTCAAATAATTCTACTATGATTTCCAATTTACTATAACATTACATCACACAACTTCACTATTGGATTTTATGAGCATTTCTGAAAATGTTGCAAATGTTTCTGATGCTGTTAGCATTTTCCTTCTTAAAACAAAACTGTATTAAAATAATTACCTCAGGCATTCTCCAATAGCCTGTGGATGGCCTCGTCAAAAGCGACATCATGAGGAATCTGGCCTTCGCCGCTTTTGGCATTCGGATCTGCTCCAGCCGCAAGGAGGACACGTACGCACTCGTGGTGGCTGTGATGGGCAGCATAATGAAGGGGAGTCCACAATCGATCATCAACAGACGTTACATCAGCTTGGTACTCCAACAAAGCAGACACACATCTGTACACAAGGAAAGGCAATGCCAATCAAACAGCACTCAGCTAACCAAGAATTGCTCCCCCCCCCACCTGTTTACTCAAGAAGCATTGCTAACAATGCAAACGAACCAATAAACTTTAATTAAATCAGTGTTGAGGAATGGTGTCACCTGACTGCCTGTCTCACAATATTACTTCAAAGGACAATGAATATAAATAAAATTCATGAAAAGCAACATTCTATTAAAAACCAGAATGAAGAAATATCAATCCAAATACTTAAGTTATATGGTACTGATGACTTATGATTTATTCTGATTTTGCCAACCACTCGGCATTTGCGATAAGAGAGAATTGATTGTCAGAACTTATGATAGTTGTAGTAAACATGCACTCACAACCTTCTACTGAACTACACATACTTGGACAATTACCCCTAGAACTGTAATACTAGGTTCTTCTCATCTCTTTCTTCTATAGTTCTGCAGCTCATGATCAAGTTTTGGCTGATATCCCATGATCTCCTTTTCAGACATGCTACCTTGCTATACGTCTTCTATCATTTCTACTTTAACATGTATAATGCCTATTAGCAACTAAGGAAACACAATTCCCAACCATTTGGTATGCAGCAAACTTTTAACTAGTTCTTTCATCTTCACAGAAACTGATAAGAACTACACATAATTCCCCCATCCCCCCGTTTTCCCCCCACCTCAAGGTGTAACCTCATTTGAAAATAAACAGCATACCCACCTCACATGTCCTCTGCTGGCAGCAGTATGCAAGGCAGTGCGACTAAAGGTCCCAGGCCAGTTTGCATCCGCTCCCCCCTTCAATAAAGCTCGCAGCATTAGGACTCGCCCATCACGTGCTGCTCGAGACAATACCTGGAGAATAAGTAGAAAAGAAGTACAAAGGAAAAGCTTTCAAATATTTTCTATGAACACCGATTTTTGGAATCCAATTTATGGAATAAAGATATTGGAGTATTATGAACTGATTTCAGTTCCATAGGGATAATAGCCGTAAATAAAGTACTGAAGTCCTAGAAAAATCATATAGGATTTATTAACTATTGACAATTTTGAGGGTTTGGATTACAAAAGATATTATTTGTATTAGTATAGGTAATTGAAGAATGTTGCTACTTTTTTCATATCTCAAGACTTAAAATCCAATTGTCAGAACCCAAGGTTGTATTTTCTCTAGAAAAATCTTCAGCATAATTGCAGGACCAGACATGAAGATTCACAATTAAGATTTGGGTGATAGCATAATAGAAGAATTTATTTGCAAGTATTGTAAGTTTTAGCTTGTTTTCCACAGAATAGAGATTTTTCCCAGTTTTAACATAATTTTCCAGATTTATATGAATTTTCTACTTCTGACTACCATATTTCCCAAGATAAGAAAAAAATAATGATACTTACATCTACACCAGTAATTCCTAATAGGAGGGTTTGATTTTCTTGAGCCAGAACTCGCACCACGGCAGAGCTTTTGGTGGCTAGCAGTGCATGCTCCATCTGTTCTGTGTCTGTGCCAGCACCGTGTTTTAGAAGAGTCTACACAATAACAATGAGTAATTAACAACTCGAACATCTACAACATACAGCTCTTTGATATCTTACTTTTTAAAGGTGGGTGTCATAGCCTTATTTGCAAGTGGCTTATCTAACATGGGTCAAAACACCCCTCGAAATGTTTATGACACATGCAATGTTCTATGACAATATATTCAAAATATTTGCAGACAGTTTTCACTGCAAAGCCTCCAAATAAAGCACTGAAAAAAACCAAATAATAATAACTAGGAAAAGGATCTGGGCATCTGCTGCTCTGTTTGGCCAGCCCATACAGCAGGTGCGTTGGCACGAGGGACTCAAAGGTCACAGATGAGTTGGCAGGCTCAGTCAGCGGCCCTTGCAATAAACAAAAGGGCTGCGTAGTTTTGCAACCAGTTCATCTTTCCTTGCTATGGAAGAAAGATCATCTGCAATGGCCTCAGGGCAAGTTGTTTTAAATCCCGTTAACACAGTCGAATTTGTCTTGAGATACTTTTGTGACAAAGGTTTATCTCGGCAGGAAGAGTAAATGAAAAAGGACAAGAAATGGGTCAATGCATTTTTGAATTGATCGAAAATAACAGCTCAGGAGTGGAGCGTTATGAGGAATCAATGTATGTGAAAGAAGTATTAGTGTCAGTGATACACTGTGATAAGCATACATCTACCATGGGAGATAACATAAGCAAATGTTTATTACAATCAGACAACGAATCCCCTGAAAATAGTGGTTCTAAATGTCAGTCGCCCTGCAAATCCTCCAGTCGAGTATATTATCCAAGCCCTGTGAAAAATGCAAATGCAGACGTTAGCATTAGCTACAAAAAAGCTGAGGAATTCTGGTTGAGTGAGGGAGGTAAGAAAAGATATTTAATATCACACGTTCCTAGAAAGTTTTGCTGATATGTTAGAATGAGAACTATATTTGTAGAAGAAGCAACTGGAAAACATGACATCAAATCGTAGAGAACACAAAAAAATATGTATACGAAACTTTGGTCTCAATTTGAACTTGCAAGAAGAACAAATCAAAATGTGAATGATTAACATCTGCGACAGTGGACCCTGAAAATTTCACAAGGAACAGGGAACAAAAATAATAACTTTTCTGCCACTCACACCTGGATTGTTTTAAAAAAGCACATAAAATTTAGGGCAGGAAAATAACAAAATTTGCATCATACACTCATGTACATGATGACACAGAAAAGGAATTTCTGTGGTTGAAAGGAATTTCTTGAAAATGCCAAACAGAGATTTTCACATTACTCACTAACTTCTGTGTGCAATACAGACCAAAGTAGATTTCAATGAAAAATGCAATCAAAACAGACTGTCATTTGTTAGTGAAGAACTCACCCACGCAGTTGTTCAATCAGTTAGCGTATTATCAAACTTTTACAGTATAATGGCAAAAATAAATATGGATGGATCTTCGTTGCTTAAATTATTTACTGTGCTGTGGGAACTGAAAGAATTTTTCGGTCCTGTAGTCTCCAAAATAATGTTTCAAGCAGAAAGTATAATTGTAACTGCTACAAAATCATGAAAAATGGGAAGAGAGAGTTGAAACATTGGTACCACTTACGGCTCCATTCTTTTTATTGCCCTTCATCCCTGAATAGGCCTTGCGCTTTCATAGCCTTCGATAGGATTATAATCTGGGGACAAGCATACAATGCAGAGTTGTGACACCCACAAAGCTCTGCACAGATGTCATTTTTCAACTGTTGTTGGATTCCTATTTATTGTCTTTGTAAATAAAACTCTTATAGAACCCTCAGGCGTTTCTTTGCTATACTACCAAACTGTATTGCTTGTACTACCAAAATCTATAAAACTAATAAAGTCGTTGAATTGTAACTTTAAATTTATTTAATAAAATGTAAGTGCGAAATGTGCGCGCCCCATGAGCTATTGGGGGTTTGACAATATGACTCACAATTACAAAAGGGTTGTCAGCCCCTGCTTTAGGAATTACATGAAAAGAAGAGGAAAGGACATTGAGTACCTGGACAACAGCGACATGGCCACACAACGCAGCCACCTCCAAAGGCGTATGCCTCTTCCTGTTCATTTCAGATAGCTTTGCTCCAGCCTGGATCAGCTGCTCCACTGTGGCCATGTCACCTGAGCGAGCAGCACAGTGTAGCTCTGTATCTCCCTTTACCTATAAACGCAAACAAAAGCTAAACGTTTAATATTACGGTCAGCAGCAATGCGAAAAATGAACTCTTGTGAAGACAATTTTAATTTTAATAGAAACTAACATTGAAGTGTATGTTCACTTAATTCTAATCACCTTCACTGTTTATCATTGTCCTCTTTGGAGACTGTGTTGTTGGGCAAATATATTAAATCTAGATTTTAATAAGTTCTCTACGCGTCAGCTTCTGGGACGAGTGAGATGGAGTATTCATTCTGAGGATGTTGTGTAATTGTCAAAAATTTGATATTATGATAATTTTTTATTGATAGGTATAGCATTATTCCTAAGTTGTAACTAAAAATTTTGTATGAATTAATAATACTGTACAGTGTTTGCCTGTAATGAATGAAATAAAAAATTATGCAAGAAATGCATACACTGAATAGAAACTTTGTGTGTGGCAACCCATGCCCTCCCTTAGCTTGCCTGTTACCTTCCTTAGGCAACTGAAATTGCCAGATTTCCACTGAACTTTTGGTCGGGCACAGAGTATAGCTAATAGAAAACGTAACCTGCGGTTGCCAGTTATTGATCACAATCATCCATTAAACCCCCCAAAAAGGGAATGTATTTTATTTTCAGTAAAATGTACAAAAAATTTGATTTGCCCTTCCTGGCCTTCCTCCAGGCCCCTCCCTCCCTGCCATGAGGTTCATCTCCCACTTCACTGCGCGTTCTCTTCTCTTTATATTTTTTAACACTTCTATCCCTGCACCATTACACCAGGTGCTTAATATTACACAATCTTCTTTCTTAGTGTTATAAACAGCAAAACAGAAAAATATATTTAAATTTTCACATTCCTAACTTCAGTGGTTTTGGCTCTATGTTAATATTTCAGTCCGTCTGACCCCTTTTGTTTCTAAGGCTAGGATTTTCATGATTTGTATATTTTCTATTTGCATCTCTCAACACTGCTGGTAAACCTAACAGCTGGGATGGTGGGAAGGGAGTGCTGAGGTTTTTTGAGCTTGTGTGAAAGCTTCACTGTTTAACCTTGTTAAATAAAGATCTGTGACTGCTTTGCGATAGTGATGCATAGTTCAGGGATTAGAATACATTCATACTGTTTGTGAAAACATTTAACGATAAAGAAATAAGATATGTTAAACAAGATTTCAATGAGGAATTTAATATAGGCTTCCTTCATGCAATTTATGTGAAGAACTGGAAAAATTTAGAAAACTTTAGTCAAGAATTAGGATGTACATGCAAGGAAGGAATGAGAAAAGCTGACAGACTACTGAAGAGCAATAATACCACAGTGGTGAGTTTTGACTTAGAAAGTTTATTCATACTATCCAGGGCCAACATAAGTTTCTTATAGAAACTTGAGATGGCGTCAGCCACAGTAGTAGCATCTTTCTCGTCTGTCTTAAAAAGTGGTCTTAGTGTAACATAAAAATGCGCCGAGCACGAAATGGAGTTATGTAAATTAAGAGAATCTGTAGCAAGCCTACAAGTTATTGCAAATTATTCAGGAAAATATCATACTAAATAAATTGATACTTGAAAACACCAGCCACTCTTATGAGGGTCAGGAAAACCCTACCATCTATCAGCAAAATAATGAAATAACAACAAAACAGACTTTTCAAATTATCCACCAAAATGTTCTGTACAACAATTCAATACAAAGGTATTAGAAACTGCATTAAATGATACTCGGCCACAAATGTTCATTGTAACAGAGCACGGTCTAAAAGAATGAAATTCAAAACTACTCTCTCAAAAATTATAAATTAATAGACTACTTCTGTAGAAAACTTCATAAGAATGATGGTGTTGGAATATATTTAAGAACTGCATCAGGGTACCTTAAAGTATATTATTTATACCAACCCCCAAATCTAAACTTTATAAGCTTCTTTAATAATTTTCAAAAGCTGGTGATGCACTTATTCCAATACACATCACTTACAATAATTGTCTTGGGACATTTTAACATAAACATTGCAGATAATGGTTTTGCTACCCGTGCTTTACACGCTTGCCCCCCCCCCCCCCCATTCTCCCTTCCCTCTCCCCTCAAAAATGAACCTATACCAAATGTACAGATGATCAAATTCCTGGGAGTACAGATGGACACTACCTTATCCTGGGAGGGTCATATTGACAGTGTGTAATAAACTGAGCTCAGGGATTTTTGTGTTACGAAAATTTAGTAAAATACTAGGAGAAAGGGAACTAAAAGCAATTTATTATGGAATAACATATCTCGAATATTCACTTTGCAAAAAGAAGTAATTAGAACAATGTATAACATGAAAAGAACAGAAACCTGCAGAGATAAATTCCAAGAATGGAATTTCCTAACTGTACATGAGCTATACAATACCATACCTTTAATGAGGTCAAATGGAAATTCGCTAGAAAATAAAGATATACACAACTAAAATACCAGAAATAAGAATAATAAACACATTGTGAGTACAAGACTTATAAGAACTGACAGAAATCCTTATCTTTCAGGAGTAAAATTTTTCAACAATTGCCAAATGAAAAAAAAATCTAAGCAATTTGAAATTCAAAAAGAACATCAAACAAACCATTATCTGACATGTAGAATATTGTGGATTGCACAGAATTAAGAAAAATAATGAAATGTACTAAGTTGAATCTATATGTGCAAGTGTATGGATAAATATAAATATGAAACTTAGTATTAAATATTAAAAAATTGTATTGTACATTAACTGTATTGTATGTGACAATGTATTTTTTATATTCAATGTAATTATTTGTATACTAATAGTATAGTTATAAACATTATTTTGAACATAGTAGTCGTCCTATTTTATGAGAAAATGTATTTATGTTAAAATAGTTAACATTCGTATTAGTCAATAGTTTGTTAAACTCAATTCATGACATGGTCTAAAATGGTACTTGTACTATCAAAGAACCAAATTTATTATTATTATTATTATTATTATTATTATTATTATTATTATTATTATTACAACTACTTGTACAAACAAAGAAAAACGTCTAAATTTTTCAAATCCACTCACCAGTGGAAAACTAACCCAGCTGTGACGAACTCTTAGGTTTCTGACAGGAGTAATAAGAGTTGTGTTTGTGGCCTGGTTAATTGATCTTGTGCCGACCTATACGTCAGATTGCAGTATTTCCTCCCTGCCTTCAGGGGACCACCACTTTAGCTGAGACAAGCCAACTCTTAATTCTTGACATGCGTGGTAGGGTAATGGATGCAAATATAAGAGCCTGGGTTGGTTAATTTAACCGACTGATGTTGGTGGGCACATCAAGTGCTGTGGTCATTTGACCCAATGTATTATTGTGGAAAGCGGTAATATTTCTTCCTCGTTGAATGGTGAGATCCAGCGGAATCCTCCGTGCCAGGCACCCCCTAAGCCAGGACAAGCTCCACTCTCCAGGCTGGTTGCTCAGCATGTGTAATACTGCAGTGCGAGGAATTGTAAGAGTAAGGGGAGAGGAAGGAAAGATCGCAGAGTCCGTGGCCCTTTTGCGAGACTACTGCTATGGCATTCGCCTGGTACTCATCGGAGTAGCAATGGAAAACTTCAGATCAGAGCCGCCGGTCGCTAGAATGCAGTGGCTGAATTCAACCTAGCTCAGTAGTAAGTATGGAAAATCCGGCCATCAGCAGGACTAGACTCTTAAGACGTCCTGGTCAAAGCCAGTGCAGTGACATGAATCGACACACTGAGCAATCTGGGCTGGCTGAACCTCTCCGGTCTTCAGGGAATATGACGAACGCATTTTCAAGATATAAAAACTAGAGCAAGCATCTGAAACTGCATCTAGTGCCGAAAATTTGACAACGCTGCCACTACACACCCAGGATTTTCTGCCTCCAAGCCACCCACACCCTCACCTCATTTGGACTGGTAGCCACTTCACCAACTTCAACAGAGCGACGATGGCAAGAGCACATGCTTGAGGGCCTCCTTTCTCAGGCCAGGTATCCCTATTAATAGAGCCCACCCCAACGCAAGCATTAGCGGAGCGCCTACGAGCAAGGGATTATGGTCTGTGTGTTGCGCCAAACTTCTTTGTGCTTGACATTAGAGAGACAGTGATTTCCTATATTAAGCATTTGAAATAAATTTGCTTTTAATGGTTTCAGCCAATCAGGAGCTTGAACTTCTCCATAGTCACACATCACTGTAGTAACATATAAGCTCTTGATTGGATGGAACCGCAACAGTTGTCATGTACACAACTAAATAAATCGTACTATAGTGTCATGCAATAGCAGCACTTTATCCAGTGATGTAATCTACCCTCATTGCCACCATCTCAGAATGAATAAATGAAGGGGGCAGAGCTTAAATCACCTGAGTGATCCCATCACACATTTATGTCACCCTACATCAAAATTTCATCTCATTAAAAGTATGCAGACTGTATAGTCACTGGACTTAAAAATTCCAAAATAAATTACTGACCAAGTTTGCTTTAGGTTGTTGACAAAATTTCATGCGGAGTGCTTGTGGAAAGCACTTATTAGCACAGCTAGACTGCCTATTCTGAGGCCCCACTATCACATACAAAGTGGGGACATGGTAGAATTTTTGGTAATGTGGATCAACAAAACGGGTTTATCAATCGGCACTATTTCCAGCAGCATAACATGGCTTTGTCTTCCTTATTAAGTAACATTTTGAATCTCAATCTATGGTTTCCTTCGTTGATCAAAAAAAGTTTGTGCAAAATTGAGGATCAATCACAAACAGAGTTTAAAAGTAATTGTACATCATTCATTCACTCTTATGCATACAAGTACACACTCATTTGCGCCCACACCTCCCCAAATGTACATTCATTTATAAAACAGATTACCTTTCTGGCCCATACTCCTGTTCCCCACGCCTTCCAACGAACCAAGGATCTTGAGTCACCTTTTATCACTGCCATATGGAGAGATCTTCCTGGCTCCGTAGTCGATCCCAACAGCTCCCTCTCAAAGCCATCCTCCGGTAAATCGCCATCTTCGTTGGAAGAATCTTCATCAGGTACATCAGAGAAAAACTCCATGCTCAAGTCAAAGGGAGCAGTAGAATCATCGTCTTCTTCATCATCAGTGTCTCCATCTGTGTACTCAAAGCGATCATTCAAATCTTCGTAAATATCGCTATCATCTTCAAACGGATCACTGGGCTCCTGGAAAGCATCTTCGTCCATGCTCAGGGCTTCTTCGTCGTCATCTTCCTCCTCATTCTCTTCTTCGCCACCTTCCCCCTCTTCACCAGCCTCCCCGCCTTCCTCATCATTTCCCTCGTCCATCACTTCGGGATTGGACTCCAGTGTGATGTTACTATCGGAAGAACTCGTTTCATCAAATCCAAAGATGTCTTCATTTGCAGGGGCAATCCGCCCCACTCTCTGAATATACCTCTTTCTTGCTCTCTCTGGCTTCTCTTGAGATTTCCTGCAGTATACAAATATGAACAACATGAAAAAATACTCACTGGTAACTAGAAAAATACCCTTTATTGTCCTTAATCATTCTTCACTATCAGGTGGTTTGCACATGTCTGCCAATTAAAAGAACTATAATGTATTATAATTAAGCATGTTATGTTAATTTGTTCGTTAATAAAAACTAACATTTCATCTTGTTTGTAATTAAGAATGCTTGAAGAATAAACACATATTCTCTTAACTCTACTAACTATGGATTTGGCACATTCTTTTAAAATACTTTTTGAATCGGAACAAATAATTAATTTGGATGAACATTAACACACAAAAAAATTGCAGGAAATGTGAAACAATTTTTTCTTAAGATTTGGTATGCTTTACTGGAAACCAATTAAAAGTAAATTATAACTTAGCAATTCTCAAATTAAAATGCATAGGACGATTTTTTGCTAGTTGAGTTTCGATTTAGAAGAAATATTTTCAAGAAACAATTTTTTGTATAGTTTTATTAAAAAGATGTAAAATTTTTAGAATTATTAATTTTCTTTATTACTTTCCATTTTTATCATTACTATTATTCTTATTCTTATTATAATACAAATTTACCCGACATTTTACTATTACACATAAGGAAGTTTTTGAGTCATGATATATTTACACAAATTTTTATTACATAAACCTCCTTTCCTTCATAATTAATCATTTCGAAATATCCCTTTGAGTATTTTGTTGAATGCTTAAGACATGCATTATTGAAGAGAACAGCAATTTTTTTAATGAACGATAAAAATACAAACATTTTATATTTATTATTTACAAGTCTGAAAAGAATTCTAAAAATATTGATGGCTTGGCTATCCATTTATTGTTAAATCTCTCAAGAAAATCCAATCTAGTTGGCATCACCAAGCCTTACTACAATATTGTGTAATATATTTGATAAATGTCTGATGTGTAATTAGGATATCAAATGACTAGCAAACCGATATCAACAGCAACTTAGCAAGTAAAATTGTTGACTTTGTGTTATTTCTTATATTTTTTCTTAAGTAGTCTAAATTTCATCTAAATGTAATAAATATCAATCTAAAATAAAACTTAGAAAGAACTTGGCCAAAAGATTATGGGCCAAGACTATAGTGTATTTGAGAGAGTGTACTCGCAGTTGGATCTTTTAACTGTCAAACTTAGACAAGCATGGTTATTCTGAAAACAAAGAACAGTCTAGTAATGAAACTCTTGACTCCGGATTTACAGGCAACGGATCACAGATAAATAAAACATGTTCAATTGGCAGTTAAATACTACCAAGACTCCACATTTTTGATGGAAAAGCATAAAAGAAATTATGCAAGTCATTTGGGGCTCCAGTGTCATTTTTGCATTCTCACAAGAATTTAAGTGGGTAAGAACAAGTAAAGATAACCGAGGTCCTGATTATATGTATTGCTTATTTTTTTATATGAATTTGATATGAATATGTATTTGACAATTAATGAATTGGTTTATTCTTAAAATACAATGAGAATCCATAAAATTACAGAGTTAAGATGTTGAGATATTGTTCAAGGGAGATTTCAAGTTTGCCTACAAGATGACTTCAAGATTTCCAGATTACTATGCAGTTATTGTTCGGTAACTTTATTAACTGGCTGACACTGATCACGCTTCCTTGCGTGACATTGTAGGTCATTTCTTCCATGGAGAATGGCTGTATTGATGTAGGAGCATTGCTCGAAAGGGTTACATTCATCTCACACAACGGTAGTCAGAAAACTGATTTCATATTGCTCTCTGTGCTGATAAAGATACTCAAAGAATCATCTGTTTTGAATACACACTATTATTGCATTTCTTCTATGCAACAAATATATGAACAATGTCAAAACATTGTTTGAAGAATTTAATAAAGAAAAATTATATGAATTTTTTAAAAATGTTTTTAAATTAAGCCAACTAAGAAAGGAATCATATATTTATTTATATAAAGATTAATACATAAGGTTGACCAAGAAGAAAAAGTTTAATGTATTACATATGTATATACTTGGTATATCACTCCATTTTGTCATCTTTTAAATATTTGCTATCTGTTTTTTGTAAGATGCCTAAAATTTATCAATGTACAGTCTATTGTCTAAATAACTATAAATTTTAAAATCAAAAATCTATTAATAATTGTCCCAATAACTAATTCTAGAACAATTTGTTGGTACATCAATGATTTTCTCACCAGTGACTAATAACTTAGCAGTAGATCTGATATTTATTTCAAGATGAAATAGGCGGTTGCCCAGTACATGTACATAAAAATTACAGTTGGTCCAGTTGTGCACCATATTCATAAGCAATTGAAGTTGAACAGTATGATACTCTTTCTCTATACTTTCTTTCTGACAATGAGCTAATGACACAAGTTCAAGAAATATCACAGACACTTGACATCTCAATCACATATGACTCACAAAGTTTCAAAGATTTTTTCTGCTCATTTGTGTAAGAATCCAATGTGATGCTAAGAAAAAATTTAAATATTGAAATAAACATTTCATATGTTCCCAAAACAATTTTAACTTCATTTTAGAGTATGACATCTTTCCTGTAAAGTTAAACAGATTTTTGTACCACAAGCAATGTAGACATTAACAAATTAAAATGTATCATAGTGACAGACTTCAAGTGATTATGAATGTGGTACATAACTGTATCAACTGTAATTTTTATATACTTATACACTATGTACTGGACAACCATCTATTTCATTTGGAAATAAATAAATATATCTAGATAACGGGGAACTTCTATTAACAAGACTAATTATATAGTCATGGCATTTTATAAGAAGAAATTATTAGAAAAAATGTATGCTGCACAATTTCTGTCATATTTTATGGATGCTTATTCTCAAAAACACCTTATGACCTTACTTACTCTATTCTCCCACTGTGGTAAAACTGTGAAGGAGGTATTTCCTTTGAAGTTGACAGTTTGTTGTCTGTGGGTTGCTCCGACGGAGACGCATCAGCAGGTGTGTCACACGCCTCTGGCGCATCCGAAGGACCTGCTGACTGTTCTGGAGTCCTTTTCCCTTCCCCTTTGTCTGTCTTTTGTGAGGGCATGGTTCGATGAAACCTAAGAACTACATGTTCAAAAACCTATGTTAAAAATTATCAAATTCAAAATATCATTCTTAAAGATATATTTACAATTTTTTTTCTTTTCTTTCAAGTTCAGTGTTGAAAATGAATAAACAAATTTTTACATAGCCACTATTAAAAGTAGTTATTGTTGGGGCATACACAGCATGCTAAAAGATAAATTTCTAGCAATTGAGCTAAAAGTGAAATGATTCGCAAAAGTTTAGATAAATTTATGATCTTAATGTAACTGTGTTCAGCTGATAAACTACAACTTATCTTAATGTAACATGGTACCCAAATATGTGATTTGTATACACTAATAAAAGGAAAGTCACTAAGCCTGCTTAAAAATAGTGTATGTGGTACGCGGTAAAAGTGATAATTTTACTGAAGAATGGCGCAACTGCCTTGGGTTGCAACACTTCCTACCTACAAACAAAAATGTCACTTTCACCACTCATCTCATAACTAACAATGATCAATTACTGCTCTTTACTCTATCATTCATTTTGATATTTCAGGCAGTATGCATTATTTCATTCTATAATGAAATAAAACATTTAATTTTATAGTGTTTATTTTCTTTTATTTATTGAAAACATTTCAACTATTAAAATCGTGACTTTCCACAAAGTTTGTATACAGAGAAATAATGGTTGCCTAGCAGCTTTTATTTCATCGATGATGCTTTTTACGATTCAAAAGGAACTGAAATGTCACACAACTCTCATAAATTTCATACAACTATATTTTAGCTTGGAACTTGAGTAGAATTTTAAAACAGAAAAATGATATACATACATTACTTCAAATGACTTACATTTATACTACTTGAGATTAATATTTATGCAAAAGTATACCGCAAATTCAAAATTTGAAGATCCAAAATTGTCAACAATCAGCACTTATCAGAGTCACAATTCAAGACCATTGTTACATTTCTTCTACCAACAATTAGATTAAAAACGAAATAAAATTCACTTTGTTTCACTCTACAGATCTAATTGTCACAAGAGTCACATTTTCAGGTTAAAAATATTCTAAATCGTTACGCTTACCTCAGTTCTCCGCAATTTTTTTCCTACACAGGAATTTTCTTACACAATGAAACTACGAAGATACAAAATTTCAAACCGCAAGCGGTAATTAAATGGTTTATACTCATAACTGCATATCACATAGTAAATACTTTTTCTCTATCTATGAACGATAGTCTCCTTTACACCGCAAGTTAATTTATCATCAATGTTTTATTATAGGAGGGACGATTAGAAAAATACTACGCAAAATATGCGTAATGAACAGCAAAACAATTCTCCTTTCCCGCCAAACATTTCGATCCGCTCAAATTTAAGTACCGTAAGTCACTCACATCACTTTCTTAGACTTGCCAACACTTGTTAATGGCATAAACTGTGCAGGAACAACACCAAGCACGACACTCACAAGCAAATGTTTGCTTTCTAAAAGGACAAATGATCGCACGTTTTGCACTCACAATTACCAAGTCGCTGTCACATATCCTGTTTATAGAAACTAATTACAAATTATACAAGTATTTACATGACATTAAGATTTTAAAAAAATAAGAAATTGTATGACAAAAGAGCGATTCCAATAAAATATCACCAACAACACTTCAACAAGGAAACGATCACTTTGTATTCGTAGTCTCTAGAAAACCTTTTAAGAAGCGCCCGCTGCCATATTCCCATGATGCATGCATGCATTTTCGTCATACATGTCAAAGACAATGTAGGGATAAAAGCATATTCTTTGATATTAAAGACGTTTCACTCTAGCCCGCGAATTTCGAAATTAATATTTCTTTTGAAATTGTTGATAAAGGAGTGGAGGTAAGTATTCAAGGGCTCAAGAAAACTTGCGGGTATAATACATGTTTCTCTTATAGATGCATGTACTATGAAAAAGGTAATACTACTTTTTTATTTAAGAAAATATCTTAATTTGATTCGGAATGTTTTTAAACAATTGCTTGCCTGATCAAGTCACAAATATTGGGGAAAAAGAAAATGGTCTCAGTGGTTAATGCTATTTAATGGAATTATTTGTGTACTAAATTCAAACTTTAAGGCGTTTGGAGGCCACCTAGAAATTGCCTTATTGTGCTGAAATTTTGTACGTATTTTCTTGTCGATTAAAAGCGGAATATGGGATGGGAGCAAAAACATTTTAACTTTCAGAAAATTACCCTATTGTTAACGGGCACCCTATTAAAACAGATGATGCTGAGCAAAAACATTCTTTGTCTGCGAGAGATGGGCAAGTGACAGAAGGACGCTAGAAGAACTAGTTGGAGCTATGCTTACGAGATAAAGTTGGGGTGAAGTATCTACCTAAGTGGACAAGATACTCCAAAACTAGAAGAAATCCCAGGCCAATAACAGCTTGAATGAGTAAAAGGAAGAGGCAATACAAGATGAGCCCCGGAGGGCAAAAGAGAAGACGCATTTCTGGAGCAATGCAGAAGTCCCAGAACGCCCCCCTGTCTAAAGAAAAAATAGTCGTGGTCGAAGGAAAAAAGTCCCACACTACTCAGGAGTGTGCACCCTCCCAAGTGTTCATTAGAATTTCCACAATTTCTCCCATAAAAACTAAAAACTGGAGGGGGGGGGAATCATAACATTTTTTTGAATTACATAAAGCAGCAACAAATTTAAGAAACTGTGATCCTAAAGTGAATATGCACATCATAGCAAAGGCAAATTACGGTGAAAATCAATTGGAAAAATTAAATCCAAAATCTAAATGTCAATTTCAAAAGATACATATTGTAATCTCACACCTGCCGAATGCGTGTGTGGCTTCTGGAGCAGGAATGGGTTTTTTCAATAATAATCATGACACTTTGGTAAACAAACATTTAATACCTAAATGATGATGGGTGATTTTCAAATTATCTACAATTATGACTAGTGCGACCTTTTTATAGTTAAATTTCCTCATTAGTTTGGCTCGATATGATTGCGATTCAGTTAATAGTAATTATTAGCCGTCATTAATATTGTGCTGATGGCACCTTCTTTCCAGCTTTGCTCAAAGAAATGTTCATCCGCATTCTGGTGGGAGCAAAGCGAATGATTACCCCTTCGTTGTTGTCGTTGTCGGCGGGCATCACAGCTCGCACAGTGGTGGGGTTGTTGACCGGCGTCACGGACGGGCCGCCCCCAGACAGCTGCACCTGAGCGCGGCCGTTTAGCGTTGCCGCCCTCAGGCCGGACCCATGGATGACGTCGCCAACCTCCAGGCAGCTACGGCTTGCATCGGCGATGACGGATCGGAAGTCATCCGTCTTCCGTCCGCAATCGCGGACGACAATCGTAGACGGGACGAATCGAACTATGGCACGGGACCGCGAGCTACTGTGCACTGATACTCTGTCAGTGGCGTTCACAACCAGCGAGAACACTTCCCATTCCGAGAATTGTGTCTCCTTTCGCAAGAATATTCGAGTAAGTCAGCGTGAGAGCTCCACTTACCTCCGCAAGAATGCTAGAGTAAGTCAGAGTGTGAGAGCTCGTCTTCTCTCCGCAAGAAATGTTCGAATAGGTGTTTTTCAGAGCTGCTCTCCCGAATCATGAAGTCTCGATACCCCCCCC